TACAGAGACATAAAGTCAGAGTGAGAATATGGGATACAGAGACATAAAGTCAGAGTGAGAATATGGGATACAGAGACATAAAGTCAGAGTGAGAATATGGGATACAGAGACATAAAGTCAGAGTGAGAATATGGGATACAGAGACATAAAGTCAGAGTGAGAATATGGGATACAGAGACATAAAGTCAGAGTGAGAATATGGGATACAGAGACATAAAGTCAGAGTGAGAATATGGGATACAGAGACATAAAGTCAGAGTGAGAATATGGGATACAGAGACATAAAGTCAGAGTGAGAATATGGGATACAGAGACACAAAGTCAGAGTGAGAATATGGGATTCAGAGACACAAAGTCAGAGTGAGAATATGGGATACAGAGACATAAAGTCAGAGTGAGAATATGGGATACAGAGACATAAAGTCAGAGTGAGAATATGGGATTCAGAGACATAAAGTCAGAGTGAGAATATGGGATTCAGAGACATAAAGTCAGAGTGAGAATATTGGATACAGAGACATAAAGTCAGAGTGAGAATATGGGATTCAGAGACATAAAGTCAGAGTAAGAATATTGGATTCAGAGACATAAAGTCAGAGTAAGAATATGGGATTCAGAGACACAAAGTCAGAGTGAGAATATGGGATACAGAGACATAAAGTCAGAGTGAGAATATGGGATACAGAGACATAAAGTCAGAGTGAGAATATTGGATTCAGAGACATAAAGTCAGAGTGAGAATATGGGATACAGAGACATAAAGTCGGAGTGAGAATATTGGATTCAGAGACATAAAGTCAGAGTGAGAATATGGGATACAGAGACATAAAGTCAGAGTGAGAATATGGGATACAGAGACATAAAGTCAGAGTGAGAATATTGGATTCAGAGACATAAAGTCAGAGTGAGAATATTGGATACAGAGACATAAAGTCAGAGTGAGAATATGGGATTCAGAGACATAAAGTCAGAGTAAGAATATTGGATTCAGAGACATAAAGTCAGAGTGAGAATATGGGATTCAGAGACATAAAGTCAGAGTAAGAATATGGGATACAGAGACATAAAGTCAGAGTGAGAATATGGGATTCAGAGACACAAAGTCAGAGTGAGAATATGGGATACAGAGACATAAAGTCAGAGTGAGAATATGGGATACAGAGACATAAAGTCAGAGTGAGAATATTGGATTCAGAGACATAAAGTCAGAGTAAGAATATGGGATACAGAGACATAAAGTCAGAGTGAGAATATTGGATTCAGAGACATAAAGTCAGAGTGAGAATATGGGATACAGAGACATAAAGTCAGAGTGAGAATATGGGATACAGAGACATAAAGTCAGAGTGAGAATATGGGATACAGAGACATAAAGTCAGAGTGAGAATATGGGATACAGAGACATAAAGTCAGAGTGAGAATATGGGATACAGAGACATAAAGTCAGAGTGAGAATATGGGATACAGAGACATAAAGTCAGAGTGAGAATATGGGATACAGAGACATAAAGTCAGAGTGAGAATATGGGATACAGAGACATAAAGTCAGAGTGAGAATATGGGATACAGAGACATAAAGTCAGAGTGAGAATATGGGATACAGAGACATAAAGTCAGAGTGAGAATATGGGATACAGAGACATAAAGTCAGAGTGAGAATATGGGATACAGAGACATAAAGTCAGAGTGAGAATATGGGATACAGAGACATAAAGTCAGAGTGAGAATATGGGATACAGAGACATAAAGTCAGAGTGAGAATATGGGATACAGAGACATAAAGTCAGAGTGAGAATATGGGATACAGAGACATAAAGTCAGAGTGAGAATATGGGATACAGAGACATAAAGTCAGAGTGAGAATATGGGATACAGAGACATAAAGTCAGAGTGAGAATATGGGATACAGAGACATAAAGTCAGAGTGAGAATATGGGATACAGAGACATAAAGTCAGAGTGAGAATATGGGATACAGAGACATAAAGTCAGAGTGAGAATATGGGATACAGAGACATAAAGTCAGAGTGAGAATATGGGATACAGAGACACAAAGTCAGAGTGAGAATATGGGATACAGAGACATAAAGTCAGAGTGAGAATATGGGATACAGAGACATAAAGTCAGAGTGAGAATATGGGATACAGAGACACAAAGTCAGAGTGAGAATATGGGATATAGAGACACAAAGTCAGAGTGAGAAGACTGGGATACAGAGACATAAAGGCGGTAATTCTGAGACAGACGTTAGTCTGAGACACAAAGTGGCAACACGAGATACAGAAACACACAGTCATTCATTCCAAGACTGGGTGGCAACCAGTGTTTCTGTCAGGCATCGAGGCATCTCTCCGAGGAAAGTCAAGCCCCCCACCCCACCCCACCCCCACCCACACCCCCACCCCACCCCGGAGAAGTAAAGGTAAAACAGTAACGTTAGGCCTATTTAAAAAAAAAATCACATTTTACAAAGATTATTTGCTGTCACCGATTAAAATTAGTGAATTATTGCAACCAAATATCGAGGGGGTCGATATATTTGATGATCCGAAGATTTAAGGCAAATCTAGTTATAGAATTAGATTCAAAATATTTTAAATCTTCTTGATTAAAACTACACTCCAAACTCTATAAATGCCTCCATTTCTACTTCCATGGGCCCACGTTCTGGAACCAGCGCCCCTTCCATATCCATCATTGTGAAACCTCGTCCACTTTCAAAAAGTCCCTTAAAACCCATCTGTTTAGGTCCGCCTATGACCTGTGATGCACCTATGACCTGTGATGCACCCTCCGTGCCCTGCCTCATTTTCTGTCTCGGGTTGATCCTGTAGTATAGGCCAAAACGTGCCAAAGTGTCCTCGTTTTATAGCCATTTTAATTGTTTCTATAGTATAGTAGTTACTATCCTAGTGTCTCATTTTTATTTTACTTAGTTTACATGTTTTTAATAATTGTTAAGCGCTTAGAGCTTTAAGGTAAGCGTTATATAAAAATGCCTAAATAAATAAATATATAATTCTAATATTTTGAAATAGTTCTTGCTAAAACATTTATCCATGCAGACATCATTCTATGACAGACATCATTCTATGACAGACAGCAAAATCATTCTATGACACACAGCAACATCAACAGTGACTCAGACAGTGACTCAGACTGTGACTCAGACTGCGTCACTTCAATTGTATTTATTTAATCTAAAGTTGACAGAAAACTTCAACTCGTTGGTGACGCGTGAGTTTCAACATTGGGGAGAAAATATGCAGTCCAGACCTAATTAATTTTTTATTAATTTAAAAACTTTAATTTTCCCACTGGTGGACTCAGATCGACCCCCCCCTCCCCCGGGTCGCATGCGGTCCTGTGAAGCATACACTTTGCATTGCAATTTTTAAATATTTAAATCACGTCTCTAAGGGTTTTTTTGACCATATGCTAACTTCAAACAGCATATTTATAGCAGTCTTACAGGCGATATTAACATATGAACCCCCAGCAACAAAATATCTCAATTCTCTACAGGCCCCTAGTATTGTTTGTTTCATGATCACATACTTTTTAACAATAATAATCCAGATTTTGTTAAAAACTTCCTCTAGCGTGTTACCCAGCGAAATAAAACAGAAATTGTTTTTATAAGCTAAAAAAAAAAAATCTGCCATACGTCATTAGCCCAAGCATGACGTAGTTGTAAAACAAGGGGGAATAACTCAATGACTTACTTTATCCCGTTTGTTGACATCGTGGGTTTCAAGGGCATCGAATATAAAAGCAATCACGGTCACGTGGTTATTTTCTGCAGCACAGTGAATCACTCCAAGGCCTTGCTGTTTAAGGAAGAAACAGTCAAACTTTGCCTTACTGGGCACTGGTTGAAATCGGTCAGATAGTCTGGCTCGTATGAACTGGCCAAAGCAACCCAGTGTGCCAACATAGTTTATGTTTCTTTAAATTAGTTTTTTTTAAAACCTCAATAGACTATTCACACTAATAGTTCAGCCGTTTTGTCACCGCTCTATTTTTATAACCAAGATATCCTCAAACTGAAATGTTTAATCATGTTAAATTCATACGTTTAACTTTACAAAGTACGATTTAGAGGAATTATTTTTAAAATAGTTAGCACACATTTAAAAAAAAAAATGAACATTGAATATTTCAAGATTTATATTTTAACTATTTGTTTGTTGCACAATCTAATCTAAAAAATCACCAACGATTTGAAAATACGACTGACATTTCGATCAATCATCGTCACTTTGCGAAGTAGCAACATCCCCATGATCGCCATCTTGACACATCCAAGTGTAGACGACTTCTAACCGTTGAACATGTGTTCCTCACTCAACTTTTAGTTCAGTGACTGAATTTAATAATTTTTCTATTTCTTTTGTCAAAGTTAATCACTAGTCTGATATAAATCTTCCGATATCAATAGTCACATCTGAAAATCTGCTCTGAAGACGCTCATCCCCTACAGAGAAATTAACCTTCCTATTCAGACTAATTAACCCTTCAACTTCAGATAAATTAACCCTCCCTCTTCAGAATAATTAACTGTTCCACTACAGACTAATTAACCCTTCCCTTACAGAATAATTAACCCTTCCACCAAAATCTAATTAACCCTTCCACTTCAGACAAATTAACCCTTCCACTTCAGACTAATCAAGCCTTCCACCATCAGATAAATTAACCCTTCCACTTCAGACCGATTAATCCTTCCACTTCAGATAAATTAACCCTTCCACTTCAGACTAATCAAGCCTTCCACCATCAGATAAATTAACCCTTCCACTTCAGACTGATTAATCCTGGAACCAAAGACTAATTAACCCTTCCACTTCAGATAACTTAACACTTCCACTTCCAAGTTAATAATAAGTTTTAGACTCTCTCCGGCCACCTTCAAATATCTTTACTGAACGGCGTACTGAGCCAGTGTTCAACATTTGAATTCTTAACTTTAGAAATGGAATAGATCTTAAGAAAAGTACCTTGTTCGTGACCCTGGTGTTAGCACCTGCGTTGACTAGAGCTTTTAAAACTGGAATGTGTCCGAACCAAGCTGACCACAGCACCGCCCTCATACCGTACTGTGGACAAATGGACAGTGTCCTTGCGTTACAAACTACTGGAAACACGTATCGTCTAAGGTTAATAGATCACGTTTCGTATTAGATAAACAACGTGACAACACGTTTCCTGTCAGATAAAGAACACTTTTCTTATTAGATAAACAACGCACTTCGTATTAGATAAAGAACACGTTTCTTATAAGATGAAAGACTTGGATTCACGAAGACAAGGACAGTAACCCATACCTTATCTTTAGCCTCCAAATCGGCCCCACCCTCTATCAAGGCTTCCACGGCACTCAAGTTGCCATTGGCTGCTGCCCAATGGAGGGCGGTTCTGTCGAGCTAATTGTTTAAAAATACACCAATAGAAGCAGGTTATCTATTTTGTCAACTTATCTTATCCATATTCATATAAAAATAATTACTTTGAAATAATTGCTGGACAATTCCTTGAGAAAACTTGGACTTGAACTTGGACTACAGAATCCAATCACCTACTGAATTACACCACAAACTGCCGTACAAAGACATGTACAAAAACACCCTCTCTGCCACCTGTAGTAACACCTGTAGTACACCTGCAGTAGCACCTGAAGTAACGCGTATGCAGTGACATCTGTCGTCACACCTGTACCAACGCTTTTAATAAATACATTCAACAACCCTAACACACAAAACAATATCCCAAGCCAACAAGGAGATTCAAATGTTGTATTTTTCCAAAACTCAACACAACACAACTATCCATTACTCACATGCAACAGAAACCAGTTGAAGTGACAGTGCCCAACTCAAAAATAAATCATTACTTCAAACCCCAATTTATTTGCGCATGGCATACCCCCGTGATCAATCTGGTTGGGTCTACACTAAAGCCAGCAATACAACAGCAGCGGACACCAAATACCAACATGCAGATTTGAGCAAACTGCAAGATATCTTTTTTGGTTTGTTTTTGCCAACAATTGCACCTACCGACAACACCGGAATGTGAAACACCCCCCAAGCAGGAAGAGCTCATTTAGTTCAACATAACCTTCACGCATGAATTCAGACCTAAAGAAATATCACAATGTACCGTAATGTTATGTTTGGTCACCCTCACGCGTCCCACCAAATAACAAACAAACACACACACCCAAACCTAAGCTAATTTCTTACTTCTTTACAAACTTGAACAGTGAACTTTTTTTCAATTGTGTTGATGAACGCAATTAAAAATATGACAATGCTAACAGATTGAGACAATGTTAGGCCTAATGTGTTTGGTTGTTGTCCGGGGCTTTTCAGAGGACATACATATCGATATGAGGAGATTGACGGCGCTACTCAAACATAACAATCAAGATGTAAAACATAACACATACTATTACAAATGAACAGATGCGTGTTCATGGGCATTTGGTTCTAGATCTGATAAAATATCAAAATAAATCAATGGCGATAACATGTTCCATTTTGTGTTTTAAAAAAAAAACAATTCATGAATTACGGAAAAGAAAGAAACCATCTGTAAATGAATGGACATCTTAACTGTTGTTATAGACCAATGAATGGATATCCTAACTGATGTTATAGACCAATCAATGGATATGTTAACTGATGTTATAGACCACTGATATGAACTTAACTGATGTTATAGACCAATGAATGGATATCTTAACTGTTGTTATAGACCAATGAATGGATATCTTAACTGATGTTATAGACCAATGAATGGATATCTTAACTGATGTTATAGACCAATGAATGGATATCTTAACTGATGTTATAGACAAATGATATGATCTTAACTGATGTTATAGACCAATGAATGGATATCTTAACTGATGTTATAGACAAATGAATGGATGTCTTAACTGATGTTATAGACCAATGAATGGATATCTTAACTGATGTTATAGACCAATGAATGGATATCTTAACTGATGTTATATACCGATGAGTGTTGACACGAAAGGGTTGAACCACAATAACAGTGTCCTTACAACGACTGAAAGTTTTTAAATTTCTTAGCAGAGCGATGTCCATGTATCAGAGCGTAGGCCATGGCAGTGTTATGTCCTTAGCGGAGTCATTTCTAACCATAGCCGAGTCATGTCAACCAGAGTCTTGTCCATGACAGGGTCATGTCCATATAAGGGTCATGTCCATAGCGGAGTCATTTCCATGCATAGCAGAATCATGTGCATAGCCGAGTCTTGTCCATGACAGAGTCTTCTCCATAACAGGGTCATGCCCATAGAAGTGTAATGTCCATAGCAGAGTCAAGTCAATAGCAGAGTCAAGTCCATAGCAGAGTCATGTCCATAGCAGAGTCATGTCCATAGCAGAGTCATGTCCATAGCATAGTCATGTCCATAGCAGAGTCATTTCCATAGTAGGGTCATTTCCATAGCAGAGTCATGTCCATAGCAGTCATGTCCATAGTAGGGTCATGTCCATAGCAGAGTCATGTCCATAGCAGAGTCATGTCCATAGCAGAGTCATGTCCAGAGTCATGTCCATAGCAGAGTCATGTCCATAGCAGAGTCATGTCCATAGTAGAGTCATGGCCATAGCAGAGTCATGTCCATAGCAGAGTCATGTCCATAGCAGAGTCATGTCCATAGCAGAGTCATGGCCATAGTAGAGTCATGGCCATGGCAGAGTCATGTCCATAGCAGAGTCATGTCCATAGCAGAGTCATGTCCATAGCAGAGTCATGTCCATAGCAGAGTCATGTCCATAGCAGAGTCATGACCATAGTAAAGTCAAGACCATAACATTATGATGCTCAAAGCAATAAGACGGACACACCATAACATCGACAGCTGCAATAGGCTAGTAAGTTTGACAAGGAGCTACAGCATAGTGTCTCAACGTGTCCACGGCTCAGGACAGCAGTAGCCCGACATACTGGGCAGCGGTATCACGCCGAAACGAATTGCTATCACCTTGATTATCAAATATCCAACATGATTCAGATAAATATCAAAATTTTTTGTGTCAAGATGATATTTGAATGGTATCAAAACAAGCCTTAATTGAAATGAGAGGGGGGACATCTTTAAAAAAGGGGGGAAAAAACACAAAAACCTCGTCATTTCAGGCGTGTAGCATTTCCTGTAGTGCAGCCTGCAATAAATTCCTATTATGTAAAACTCAACAATCATGTTAACATAGCTAAATGATTACATTCACAACAACACTACAACTACGGCTACAGCTAACTACAACTACGACCGCACCGACAACTACAGCTACAACTTGGCGGTCTAGTACACCAAAAGTAATGAACCAATGTTAGCATTGATATTTCACAAAGCGATTCTTGTCAATATTTCATTTGAAGCTAATGGCAGTAGCTGGAGGGGGTGGGGTGGGGAGGGGGGGGAACATGTGCAAAGCTTCTCCTTAACTGGAAACAAAACGAAATAATTAAAATTAAACTACTGTGTGCATCTCGTGACTCGATCTGCTAGTGTGTATCACGTGACTCGATCTGCTAGTGTGTATCACGTGACCAACATAATGTTGCGGTGAGCGTGTGTGTGTGTGTGTTACTGTCTGATTTAGATCATCTGACTCATTGCATCCAATCAATTAAATAATAATTCCAACAAAAAAAAAATAATTAAAAAAGGAACATGTCTCAACATAATCTAAAAACAAAATAATCTTATATGACGTAATCTGCAATTAAATATTTGACAATTATCGCGGCTTGAGTTAATGCATATTCAATAGTGACCTATGTGAACAATTTGTCTAAGGTGACCTATAGGTAGAAGACCTTATGGTAACTTTGTGAACTATGTGACCTTTCGATTATCTGTCCATTGTGACATATGTTTATCATGTAAACAATGTGACATTCGTAACACCTGCTCGAAAGGTGTAACCTAATGGTTATATATTGTACATACACAATAACACTAAGTTATATTAACTATGTGTATCACATTGCATAACATCATTTAGTATGTGACGTACACATCCCTACACTTTAGTAAAACTGATGTTCAAGTAAATGATCAACATGTTGTTAGTATACAACAAACTCTAACTAATATCAACATTCAACTACACCTTTAAACAGTTCAAACGTTTATCGTTCAGACCATTAATGTGTCTAAGAAAATTTGTGTAAGTCTGATGGTGTAAGAAAGATTATGGTAAAACATATGGTTTAAGTGAGCTTGTTTGAGAAATATTTTTGCGTAAGAAAGATTGTGTATGAACGATTGTGTTAGAAATATTACGTAAGACATATTGTGTAAGAGATATTGTGTAAGAAAGGCTGTGTAAGAAATATTGTGTTAAAAAGATTGTATAGGAAGTATTGTGTGAAAGGATTGTGTAAGAAATAATGGGTAAAAAGTTTGTGTAAGAAATATTATGTTAGAAATATTGTGTAAGAAAGATGGGGTTGTGTAAGAAATATTGTGTAAGAAAGGTTGTGTTAGACATACCATGTAAAAAAAATTGTGTTAGAAAGATTGCATAAGACAGAAACTTTCAATTACTTACACTATTTCTACAGTTGACATTGACTTTCTCTTTGAGCAATGTTCGTATAAGGACAGCGTCGTTGTCCCGTGCAGCGTCATGGAACTTCTCCTCCCTCCTGGACACTGGGGACATAAAGCGTCACATATTACGTCATGTCACGCTGGGAAAATAAGGCGTCACATATTACGTCATTTCACACTGGGGGACACAAGGCATCACATATTACGTCATTTAAATGCCACCTAGTTGCAGTTACTTTGTAATACTAGTAACATTTTGCAATAACCTTCTTAGGTAAAACACACTAAACAAACATATTACTAATAATTATATACAAATGCCATTGCCTGGTGCTTAACATTTCCAAACATAATCGATATCAGAGGTCCCCAAAACTTTTTTGCCTCCTAGACCACTTGCCATGTTTTACGGCTTTGGGTAGTCCACCTGCTTACCTGATATTGATTTTTTGCAAATTCATTAACTTCAAACGTTTTTTTCCACCGCCGGTAGAGTGCTGCCCACTTTGAAAGATTTAAATTAATAACGGTAGTGAAGTGTAGTGTGAAACACATTTTTAAAAACATGTTAAGTTTTACATAGTTATTAATTAAATTCAACTTAAAACGAAACGAATCAAACATGGACTCTCTGTTACATAAAATAACCAAGCAAAAAATAAATGTTTTTAGTGTGAGGGATGAACCTGATGCTTTAGTAATAAATTTTCAACATTTGGCATCAATTTAGTTCGGTTTAATCTCAAATCTCCTCGATTAATGATGTCCTTTTTTGTGTTTTGTTATGAGATTGTAACTGCCTTGAAACCTCGTTCC